ATGAGGCTGTGCTGCCCGGGTCGGGTGTGCGGTAAGCATCCTCAAAGGGCGCGTGCGCGGACATTTCCTTTCGTTCACTGATGCATCCACTCGCACTGTGTTGTCATGCTTGTCAAGCTACATCCGAGGCAGTCGCGAGCCACTTCAAAGTTCATTCTAGGGTCGAGCAGGTGGCAGTGATAGGGGACGCGATCTTGGCGAGCGGTACGATCACAAGGGTACTCGCTGCTGGGCACTCAAGTGAGTGTGCTCGTGCTTGACGCATCAGAGGCATTTTTGAAGCTGGCTAGGCAGAAAGTCATCCGCTTTTAGTCCTTAGGACGTCCAGAGTCGGAAAGAAAGCGATGCACGGGCGGAGTCTCACGACTCGTGCGCCTGAATGGGGATTGGAATGACCTCCTTGGGGCTCGTCGATCTTGAAGCGCGGGCTTCCTCGAGTCATTTTGGGACTGATGCTCAGCTTCTTAGTTAGCTACTGAGTCAATGGCATGTAGCTGCTGAATCAAGCCAAGCTGATGCTTGCATCAGCCGACATCGAGGCGCGCGCCGACACGAGGAGACATTCGAAACTTGGCGAAAACCAAAAAAGAGAGTAAAAAAGGTGAACCATCCGGAATGCGCCCTGCTTCCGCGCGAGACGTCATGTACCAGTTGTGAATGCCCTATGCTCAAGGGCTAAACTTCCAGTTGGTGGCTAGCACCCCTGTTTTAGCCAGCACGGGCATATCACGTAGCCAAAGCGCGCGGTACATATACCCAAAATTAACGCGCGGTGCACACAGTCAAAATTGCTTTGCGCCTTTATCTGGTCTCTTTCTTCCCGTTCACAATGGTGATTGCCGGATCTCTTAAAGTCAGGACATCTGCCTCAAGGAGCATTCATTGCAAGCAGAAGTTAAATTGCTGGTCGCAAGTGAGGCGAAAAGCCCAATATGGGGAATGAAAGCGATCCGCTTCACTCGTCGGAAGGCTTTCGAGGGAAGTCTTGCAAGCGCTGAAGCGGCGCGCTTCTTTGCTGATGATCGAGAGATTTGATGACCGAACGAGCAGCGCTTGAGCATACTCAACGGAAATAGTTGAGCCATAATAAAAAGACCACAGACGGCAAGCGCACGCAGTGACATTTTGCTCTTGGACGACGCGGGTGAAAGCGGAAGGGAGCCGCCAAATTGAATTGGAGGGAATGCAGACAAGGACTCCCTCACGCGAATTGAAGGCGAAGTTTCACTCGCCCCTCAAAAAATATTTACCTTCGGGCGCTCATACGCAAGAAGTGGTGCCCAAGAATGTGCTCATTAGACCTCACAGAATCGGTCATTGTGATCGGACATTGCATTGTGATCGGTCATTGTGATCGGTTTATTCTACCATCACCAGCGGCCGCCGAGACCCTGGTGAACAGGCACGATTTGCCCGCGGTCCTACGACATTCGCGTGGTGAGCCAGATTCTCGGAGTATTCGGAAAGCAACAAAGTGAAAGGTTGCTATGCTTCGAGTATGACTGAGGCTGGATGGCCTGCTTAGCACCCGGCTCCTTCTTCGCAGGGTCAGCGATGGATGTTCTTCGCGCTTACAGTCCGGGTGAACCTCAGCATTCAGCATCAAGCAAGAGCGAACGCTGATTTGCCTCACACCAAGGGATATCAGGCTCTCATATCTAGTATTGTCGAGGAAGCAGAAATACGAAAACAGGTCAGTTGGCTCGCTGACTGTCGTCTAGATGGCTGATCAACGACTCACTACCCATCTGTACACCCAGGCCCACAAGATCCTTATCCTTGTCCACGTTGAGCTCGGTAGGAAAACTGCATGTAGCCAGCTGAGAGACCGATTGACTTACTGAAGACCCGTACTGAGGAGAAGAAGGGTCATCGCTGCCTCGTGGAGATTGCAAATGCTGCTTGAAGATTGAATTCTCGAGTGCGGGTGGCGAGGCAGCCATGCTGGCGTAGGATCGTGGAGGGGCTGACGTCGCTGACTGCGCTTGGAGTGCTACGCGTCTTGATATGGGAGTCGAAGTAGCCACGTCTGAAGAGCCAGAGGAAGAGTCAAGATCGCGGATAGGCGCTTGAGAAGAACCAACTTCAGACCAGCTAGTGCCGCTGCGAAGCTTCGATGCGCGCCAAGAGCTTGTTCTACGTGCTGCCTGAGAGTGAACGGAATGCAGATTCAGAGGACGTGCCATTGAGTCTCCTGGTGTCTGCTCTATGCGTGATTGATACTGTTGTGCGTGGGTGTGGCCGCCAGCCTCCGAAGCTGGGAATTCTTGAGTCGGCTTTAGACTTGGGCTTTTTGCAAGGCGAGGACGCTTCTTGCCTCGTCTGGTCTTGCTCTTGTGGTTGGTCTCTGCTTGGACTTCAGAGTCTCTTTGCGCACCCTCGATGCCGAATTTCCTTTCAACATCAGCACAAGCTTCTTTCAGCTGCTCTGGAGCAAGATCTTTGATTCGTTGGAGGAGCACCTGAGAGGTAGGTGGAGCTCCGGCGGATGTGACTCCGAAGGTTCGTCCACTGAGGCGTGTGGGCTCCTACTCACGGCAAACATCCGGCTGTTGACTTCGCTGTGCTCGCTGTTGTGCTGCGATTCGAACCAGTATCCATCGTTCTCGTTGGAAAGTGTCACCCCGGCAGCTGCAGCAATGGAGAGATCACGTTGGATCTGCGCGGATTCGTCGGCATGAAAGTATGCATGAGCGGAGGGAATGCGAGTACGGCCCTCAACAGAAGCACTCACTTGGATGAAGCAGAAGCGCTGGCGTGCTCTTTCGCTGGCTTTAACGCGCTCTTGTGCCACCCCTCTACCATATTCAGCCTCTCTGTGCGCAGCCTCGAGCTGCTCTAGACGAGCGAAGCGCCCGGAGTCATTGTCGTTCTTGGCCAAGTTGAGCTCGTCGCTCCACTTATTCTGCACGTCGATGCTTAGAGGGTTCAGACCTGCGCTTGCGCTGGCTGCAATACTGGACATGGTGGTAGTGCGCTGACTCCGTGAGCTCAATATGTGCAAAGCTGCAAGTGATGAGAGCGCGAGCACTGAATGTCGACCGGTGTAGGAGGTTGGATGCTTGAATTCTAACAGGGAACTGCTAGCCTCCCCGACGCTAGCTACGAGCCATGGGGCACGCGCCTTTCAAGCCTCAGGGGTGCGCATCTCACGATTCGACGACTCAGATGCTTAGGGTGAGTACTTCGGGCTGAAGCTGTGTTTGAGTAGCGCTGCTGCGTGTGCGTGTAGCGAAGAATCGTGTGTGTGCCGGGCAATGACTGAGCTGGAGCTCCAAGTGGCCATCTGCTGATAAGGACCCGACGTACCCATTCGCATGATGCTGATTCTAGGGCCACTCGGGAGTCGGTGATGGGTGAGTGCGTGGACTGCCCCGAGAGTTCGTCTTTTCCGCGCTTTTGTGAGTCGTGAGTGTAATGTAAGTTCGGGACTCGTCGTGGCGCAGCATGGCGAAGCAGGGCTGTTGCGCGCGTATATGGTGGCTCCTCAGTCCAACATGACCATCGCGATTCCCGCTTGGAGCCCGCAGCGCGCAGGTGCTGCAGACCTCCATTCAAAATTCAGACTGAAATTACGAGTCAAAGGGGAAGTCACAGCGCGCCAGCCGTTGACGCGTCGCGCGGGGCGGCTGGCTCTTTAGTACAAATGGCAGGCTTGAGTTAAAGCAGCCTTGAGTAAGCGTTCTGATTATTGAAGTGACAGCGTTGAACAATTAGTAATAAAAATTGATACAGCAGATGCTTACAAGATAGTCGTGCGTACGATGGAGCAGGAAATCCCGCAGATCCATCCGAGAACACATTCCTTGATTCAGATTCTTGATTCATTGATTCAAGCGTCACTACTGGCTTTGAGTCTTGAGTCAAAGAGTCTCGACTCACCAGTCGCCTGAGTCGCACTTGAAATCTCACTTTTGACTCTTTTGATGCCTCTGGCGAATGCGTCTTCTCGCTGCCCGCATGCAGCAGGGCAGCGGTCGAGGCGCGAAGGATCCGTTAGCGCGGGACAATCAGCAGCTCGAGCGTTCCGTGCGCTCATGCACTGGCGTCATCAACATTGAAGTGCCACTACTACTACAATCTGCTGGACATCCACACAAGCGAGGGTAGCAAAGGTCGAGTCCACCAGCTTGCTGGAAAGCGAGTGAGCACCTTTGCATGGCGCTGCAGGGCGCGTTCCGGTTCAGAAGGCGGTGCAGGGATGTGCGAGACGAGCAAGCAGTCGCAAATCTTCGACGGGGCAAGTCGCAGATGGAAGAACGTGAAGACGATCAGCTGCGGCGGCTTGGCGGTAGTTTACCATCTGATTCGACTATCGTGGCAGCGATAGTTGGCTATAATTGAGCAGCACCTCAGTGAAGAGAGCCGGCTGTCGTTGCGCATGCTAGGCAGCCGCGAAGTCTCCCGCTTGCCAGGCTTGGTCAGTCGGGTCGAGCCGGCTGTCCGCACTGCGACGGAACACTGGACAAGAGAAAGGAGGGGGCAGTGTCGAAGAGCGCAATGTTGGACAGCTCCGTAGGTCAAGAGTGTTCTGGCTCGGCCAAGCTCCAGCGCCCGTTTTGCCCAAACATGCGTGCGGCTTGACCAACTCCATATCCACGCGAGCACCTTGTCCGTGTTCTTTTCGAGGCATGACTTCCAATGTCAGCGATGTCACGCTGCGTTGGACCAATTTAACCGATGATGACTCACCATGCGCCCTGATCACCGATCTTCGCTCTCCCGTGACGTAGTGTTCTCCCGGCAGCTCCGTCATCTTGCGGGCTCTATGCCACCTCTCCAGCCGGCGCAGCCTTCCAGCGCAGTCTCATATGGAGAGCTGCGTAGCTACATTAAGCTACACTACCTCAACTGCTTCTGGTGTCAGGTCATGATCGCCGCCCTTGCTAGATCCACAATAGATGCCGTTGTGCCCGAGAGACATGTGGACGCGCAAGGCAGCTGCGAGAGTCGAGACAGCCAAACTGATTAACACTCCTTTATCAAGATTGCGTACAGAAGGGATCCGCTGTGTGGCCAGGCTTGACAACTCTTGCCAAGATGGAGTCCTGAAAGGGCGCAGGCGCGGGCACGAGTAAGGCGTTTTTGGTGCACGTGATTAGATCTACAAGGTGGCCTGGTGTAGTGTATAATTGCAGCTGACCGCGTTCCGCAGTGCCTGCTCGCCGACCTCTGAAGCTAGGGCGGGCGCTGTATGCGGGGCTTGCGCCGCATTCGTGTGGTGTGGTGGACGTCTCGAAGTGAATGATCGTGAACGCAGGCTCGCGCCCTGCACGCGAGAGGATGGGGTCACAGCGCGTGTATGCGCGTTCTTGCGCGAGCGCAGCCCCAAGGCAAAAGTCTCACGAGCGTATCACGTGACTGTCGAATCACGCAAAGCGTTCGTGTCACGTGAGCAAAGGCGCAAAGGCGCAAAGCCATCATGCAGCAGACATACCCAAAGGACCGAAGTTGGACCGTTCCACGCGTTGAGCTCAGCTCCGAATCTTGAATCAGTCAAGTCAGATCTCCACCATCGTGATAGGCCATTCGCGGCTCATGTTGGCGGTGGCAAATCATTCATGATTGCATTCACATTCAAGACGATGTGGCATCCCTCTTCATAGCATATATCCGCATCAAGTGCCTCGAGCGATGACGGACGACAGCCTGCTAGTCTCTCCGCGCTTGCTGCGTAGAGCGGCGTTGCCGAAGCGAGCTATTGGACCGGTCCTTGTTCTCGCCCGCAGACTGTCTTTGCCACTTGCGCTGCTATCCGCTGCGCACACCCACTCCTCCTCTTCCCAACCTCGGACAGGCGAAAGTAAGTGTTGATGGCGTACGCGAGGCGCACCTGAGCTGTCCTGCGCCGCATCAATCTGACTCCCTCGGTTGCCGCCTTCAACGCAGCTCTGGCCAGCCTGTTGCAACGGGCAACGGGCAATGTGCAATTACGCCGCATCGGCTCTGCTTCCGCCGGTATCACGCCCAGCTTTCCAATTGTTGCCGTCTTCAGATTGTGGCAGACAACCTGATAGCCATCGATCGGCTATCAATCGGCACTCTTAGCGAGCTCTTTGCTCAATCGGGAGCTTGGGACATTGCAACTCCGGGGTAGGCAGCCACAAGCGTCAGGGTGAACTCGGACGACGCACACACCCGGCTCGATGCAGTTACGCGAGGTGCTTACAGAGATGGATGAACAGCGAGTGCATCTCTTGCAGGCCTCGAGCTCCCACGCCGCATCTCGCATCTACTTGCTAGATCGAAGCGAAGCGACTCATTGTCGGAGGCACCAATAGGAGGATGGACTGGACAATCGCTGGTCATAGCTATCACAGAAGAAAGCCTGTGCGGCCTGCGATGCCTACATGCCATTCCCTGGGAACAAGCGCAGCCGAAGGAGCCGACCAGCCTACTGCGGTCTTTTGCTTGCACCCTGCAAGAGGAGGATCTGATGGTCGGACGCTAGTCGCGCAGGAGTCATGTACGAGCTTGTGAGAATTGAGGGTCCGCGCCAGATTGTCCCGCTACTGACGAGGCGCATCCTCCCTCTGATCCGCAAGGCTACTGCATCAGCTTACATTCCAGAAGAGCTCCTCTACATCCGCTGCGAAGGTACAGATGACACCCCTCCCTTTACCCAGCAAGCGCTGTGCCCTCAATCTCGGAAGCTTAACACGCGAGCTTCGTCCAGGCAATAGGCGTCGCGTCTGAGCTTGAGACTTCGACACATCTCGACACCTTCGACAAAAGCCTCAGCTTGATGCACGCCGAAATTTGCCTGCAATGGAGCGTTCTTGCAATCAAGACACGAACTCACTTTCAGTAGCTCGATGGGCACTCCCAGTGGAAGCACGCGCCAGAAAGGCCACTTCCGGCCGCAGTAGACACTCAAGAATCAGCACCAGGCTAGCCGCACTGCTCTTGCTGTCGTTGATGGCACTTGAAGAATGCGACCCATGGCAAGAGCCCATCGATCGCATTGCGAAAGCGTAGCTGGCGTGAGTAGGTATCTCGCTCGCAATCGATGCCGTCTCTCTTGAGGCTCATCCCCGGAAGGAACCCTTTCATGCGCGATCACCAGGAGGATGCAGCGCAGTCTTGCTTGCGGGCGGCGCCGAAAGCGAACTTCCTTCGTGCGGGGCATATGCCTTGTCAGTGAGAAGGTGTCCGAACTCAGACAGGCCTTTCATCGCCCTCTTGTCACAGGTCCATAGAGAGGCTATAGCATTCAAGTCGACTACTCCGCTGCACAACACGTGTCACGCATGGCCGTCGCGAGGGAAACGGTTGATAGAACACTGTTGTAGCTTGTCGTTGGAGAGCAGAAGGGGCGAGGACGAAAGAAAGGCTCGACGAATCAAAGGCTGCCTTGGGCCTGATTCCTCAAGAAGAGCCGATAGAGATACGCCACTGAGAAGGACGCGGTCAGGTGCGCGTGCGCCTGCGCGTCTGTCAAAGCCATAAGAGCCGAATTTCTGACGACTTGACATCGGTATTTTTGATCATCGGCTCGCAACGAACACCGCAGATGGAAGCCAAGAAATATCAAAGCAGATCACATGAATGTAATTCTGAAATTGGGACACTATCCCGCCTGGCTGCTCCACAAACGGAAGTGCGGTAGACACTTTGAGCCAGCCAGCAGTTGACGCAGCTTGCGGCCAGGAACCCGCAATCGTGAATGGTCTCGACATGGCAGACTTGCCCTAGCATCAGGCGTGCAAACATGTTGCCAGCTCGAACTCCATAGCCGCCCAACGGCCCGACGCGTGTCTATCATCGAAGATGGCTCTCGATCCTCTGACCTCGACTCAGTGCATGGACATCTTTGAAGGTGTGCTCACATGCGTAACAAAAGCAGAGGTGCGCACTCAATCTGCCGCATAGTGATGAGCAGAATTTCCGCGGATTGAGCCTGAAGCTTGCCTCGTATGACCAACCCAGATCAAAAATCATGTCATTCGGTGCTCATCCAGCAAAGACTCATCCAGCAAAGTTTGGTGGATGCATCAAGACGATACATCAGCCGACGCCAAGAGGCGCCGCAACTCCGGAGAGCAGCAGTGATTGCAAGCAGTAGCGGTTGCATGCATGCTGGGCGACGAG